TGGTATTTTCATCCTTAATTACACTTTTCATTGAGCAAAATGTCATTTTCATCCAATTTTTCATCCAAGTGAAGGGTATTTTCGACTTAAAATTATTTTCCTTCTTCCTTTCCCATTTGAAGCCATTTTTTCTTAAAAACTGCTACACTTACGATCATTAAATGACTGTAATTTTTACATTCCTCTCTAATTAGTGTGGAGGCCACTAAATGTGGTCTCACACTAATTAAAGAGGGCGGTAACAAGTAGCATTTTTGTTTGGGGAAATGATATTCATCCCCACTGAGGATGCAACCCCAATCTATGTGGCATTATATGATGAAAAATGTTATTCATCCCAGTCGGGATGCATCCCCAATCTATGTGGATGTAAATGATTGGTTAAATGATAGGTGAAATTAAATGACTTGTTTAATTTCACCTATCATTTAATGTCACATTAACGCCACATAAACTGGGGATGAATAGCATTTCTCAATTAAATAAGTCATTTAATTTCACCTATCATTTAACCAATTATTTACGTCCACATAGATTGGGGATGCATCCCCACTGAAGATGAATAACATTTTTCTTTTGTTTTTCCTTATGTTTTAAACCTTTGAAAACCAGTATTAACAATCTATTGTTTGTATGATCGGGAAGGCGAGGTTGCTAGCAGAAGCCAAAGCTATAGAAGATGCTCAAAGCAAGCGGAAGCAGAAGCCAATAGGAGGAGAGAGCTGGACAGAGAAGCAGCTCGAGAGGCATTGCTCAAGGTCTGATGAACTTTTGTTATCACATAAATCAGAATAGTTTGGCTTTTCCTCCATCTTTCCCTCCATTCTTAACCCTAAATTCCCATTATTTTATAGATTGAGAAGACCGTTGAAATCAATGAAAATTCTCGATTTCGTTAAGATCTGGAAATGCTGAGGATTGTCCTTCCTGAGCAATTACTCTTCATATAAATGAAAAAATCGATTTCAAATGTTTAAACAAAGGGAAAAAAAGGGGTTCAAATGGTATACGCCCACCATTTCCCATGTATCCCCCATTGAGACACAAAATAGTATAAACAGATAATACACAAATTCTTCAAAACAATTCACTCAAAACCTAATAATTCTCTACATAATTCAACGCAAAACTGGGATTATCCTCATAGAAGTGTTCGGCCGGCCTTAAACATTGTCAGAATTGTCTATTTTGAAATGGGGAGGCGGGGGGAAGTATAAGAATCGGCGCACCAAAAACTTGGGCATCAGTGTAGAGTTCTTGTGCCCATCTTAATTCGCCTTTGTAAATTTCAATTTCTCAAAGCAGTAGATTGTTAACATTGGTTTTCATGAGAAAAAATGGGTTCAAATGGGAAGAAAGGGAAAAAAATAATTTTAAGACGAAAATACATTTCACCAAAATGAAAAATTGGATGAAAATAACTTTTTACACAGTGAAATGTGTAATTAAGGGTAAAAATATTAAAAAAATGAAAGGTTGAGTTACTTAGCATAATAATAGTGAAGAGTAGGAACGTTTTGTGCTAAATACCATATTTGTAATTTATCGTAATAATTTGTGGTGTTTATAATTTGTTGTGACTTTGTCAAGTGGGTCAGTTATGCTCGTGGTGAGCCTAAGCCATGAGCCAAATTGAGCCCCACTTTTGGGACACGTGCTGAGCCGAATTCCGAGCTTGGGTCCATGTACTACGATCAATTTCTGACTCTTTTAAGTCTACATATTTGACACCAAACGCTTAAAAGTGTGAATATCTAAACTAAATGAATATCGTTGCAAATTCTTTTTGGTTGGAATTTGACACGTGGCCATTTACAAAAAGCGACAACTCAAACAGTAGAGAATACCCTAATAGACTTGCGTTGGTTTGTTGAAAAGGTTGATGATTTTGATCGGATAATTTAGACGCATTTAATGCATTTATTGAAACCAACAAGTTGCATTCATAAATTCTGGTGGGTTATTTAATTCATGTTTGGCCTTGCCCAAAATAATAGTAAGTTACTTAAATGTATAGTTTAAGTTCAGACATGTTTGGGTTGGATTAAAAAGAAAATATTTATTCAAAATATGATAATATTTCACTAAAAACGCATGTTTGAGAGGCTGCAGGGTCTACTTATTTTTGAAGTAACAACACGACCAATCCCCATAATACCCTCTGTGTCGAAATTTGAGAAGAGGAAATAGTTGTAATTTAAGGAAAATGTCCGAGATAGTAAAGTTTATTTTTCGTAATAATTTTTCAATTGCTTGGGATAACATTTTTTTTTTTTTTTAATATTGATTATGTGATATCACATCAATTTTTCTTTTAAAGTTATTTGTAACTTTATTAAATGAAGTATTTTAATTTGTAATAGTCAAATAAATTGATAATATATAATTTTAATATTCTAACAGTGTATCTGAATAAGTTTGATCTTCGATTAATCTTGTAATTACTTTCTTTTTCGGCGAGCAGCTTTACGCCGCTCATCCTACTAATATTACCTCTAACTTCTATATTGCTTTGGTGACATCTACCATTTATTTCACTCTAAAATTAGGATTTTACTTCAAATTGGGAATCTAAAATTAGGGTTTCAAATTGCAAACCCTAGAACCCAAATCAAGAAACTTAAAAACCAACTTCAAATTACAAATCTTAAACCCTTTTTTCTGTAAAAAGAGGAAAATTTTCAGTCACAAACCGCATCCAGCTTTCAGTGAAGCCATAATCAGAGAAGGCGATTTGACTGCTGGTTAGCTAGCAAGTGTACTTGACAAAGAGAGAAGTAATCTTGAATTAAATATATATGCAACTGGAATTAACTAGGCCCCATTTGAATATTTGAGAAGAGGAAATCTGATATATTTTGTGAAACAAATATTTTTTTTTATCAAAATCTATCTAACTATATGTCGTTGCAATTGCTAAATAATTAAAGATAGAAAGAATAATTTATAAAATTGCATACCAAAGCACATTTTGCAGGGATTATATATGTAAAAGACTCGCAAGTGTAAAACAAGTGATACGTTCTACTATGATGTATTGGAAAATTAAAATATAAGCTTTAAGCTTTAACTAATACAAATAAATAAGTAAATAAAAAGTTTAAAGAATTTTGAACCCATTTAAGACGGAAGTAGCTGCTAAATGTGTTAATTAGACTTATAATATTGTTGTATATACAAAATTTTGAGGAAATTAGGTAGTGTACCCTATAAAAATAAGTATTTTGATTAATACATTTTAAAATAATTAAACATTTTAATCGAATAATAATTACGTCTTAATTTAAACTGTTAACTAAAACTCCAACCCCCTAAAGTAACCTGATAGAAACCCATTCTTCTCATCGCTAAGGCTACATTCTCTACTATTTGGAGCTGATTTGGCTCTCGAGAAGGGAGATTTCAGCTCGCGCAAGTGCAAGCCCTCGGGCTTATCGGCTTCCTCGATTCCCGCTCTCACTCTCAAGTCGACAAGGCCTTTATACGTCTGATTCGTCATGAAGCTGTAACCAAGCTCGATACGGCTCGACGCTCATTGGTTCCTAATTCTGGCCAACTATTCCCCATCATCATCGCATTCCTCGTTGTCATGGTAGGTGTCATTTTCGATTCTGATTTCAAGTACGTTGTTCACCTATCTCACTTACGTATATTTTCTACTTTTTTGGGTAATATTTATTTGATGAAAAATACTACAATCCATTGTGAAATCGTGAATTAGAGGATCGTTTAAAGTGTTTTGAATGAGAAAAAGATTCAGTTTTGAAGAAGTGGCATTGAATAAGTAGACTCCTATGAAAAGATCATGAATAGGAAGATCCCCTGAGAAATGGGAGGCCGCCGAAGAAGTAATCTTAAATAAGTAGACCCATTGAAGTAGGAGGCCGACAACGAAGAGGTCATTAATAAGAAGACCTTCTAAAAATGGGGAGGCAACTGAAAAAGCGGCTTTGAATAAGTAAACCCCCAGAAAGGAGGAGGTCTCCAACGAAGAGGCCATGAATAAAAAGACCCCTTAAAAAGGGGGAGGTCGCTGAAAAAGTGGCTTTAATAAGTAAAACCTTGAAAGGAGAAGGTCTCCAAGGAAGATGTCATGAATAAGGAGACCTTCTGAAAAAGGGGAGGTTGCTGAAGAAGTGACCTTAAATAAGTAGACACCCTGAAATGGGGAGGTCTCCAAAGAAGAGACAATGAATAACAGGCTACCTAAAAAGAGGGATGCCACTGAAAAAGTGACCTTGAATAAGTAGACCATCCAAATGGGATAGGTTACCAACAAAGAGGCCATGAATAGGAAGACCCCCTGAAAAAGGAGAGACTGTGAAGAAGTGACCTCGAATATCTAGATCCTCTAAAATGGGGAGGTTTCAAAAGAAGAGGCCACGAATAAGAGGCCCCCTTAAAAGGGGTATGCTGCTGAAGAAGTGACTTTGAATAAATAGAACACTTGAAATGGAGGTCTCAAACAAAAAGGTCATGAATAAGAAGACCTCATAAAAAGGAAGAGGTCACTAAATAAGTGGTTGTGAATAAATAGAACCCCTATAGGGGAGGTCTCCAACGAAAAGGCCATGAATGAATATAACCCTGAAAAGGGAGGAGGTTGCAGAAGAAGTGGCCTTGAATAAGTGGACACTTTAAAAGGAGGAGGTCTCCAACGAAGTGGCAATAAATAAGAAGACCCAGTGAAAAAAGGGAGGCCCCTAAATAAGTGGCTTCGAATAAGTAAATCCCCCGAAAGGAAGAGGTCTCCAACGAAGAGTCCATGAATAAAAATAAACCTTGAAAAAGGAGCAGATGCTGAATAAGTCACCTTGAATAAGTAGACTCCTGAAAGAAGGAGGCTTCCAAAGAAAATGCCATAAATAAGAAGACCCAGTGAAAAAGGAGAGGTTGTTGAAGAAGTGACATTGAATAACTAGATCCCTCGAAAGAGGAGGTATCTGAAGAAGTGATCTTGAATTAAATGACCCTTTAAAAAGGGGGCCCTTGAAGAAGTGGCATTGGATATGTAGACCCCCTGAAAGGAGAAGATCTCCGACGAAGAGGCCATGAATAAAAAATTAGTGAAAAATGGGAAGTCACTGAATAAGTGGCCTTGAATAAGAAGAACCACTAAAAGGGGGAGGTCTTCAATGAATAATCCATGAATAAAAATACTCTTTGAAAAAGGAGAGGCCGTTAAAGAAGTGGCATTGAATAAGTAGACCCCTGAAAGAGATAGGTCTCCAAATAAGAGGCAGTAAATAAGAGACCCCCTGAAAATGGGAGGTTTCCAATGAAGAGGTCATAAATAAGATGACCTATAGAAAAAGGAGAGGTTGTTGAAGAAATGACCATGAATAAGTAGACCCCTAGAGAATGGGAGGTATTTGAAGAAGTGACCTTGAGACCCCTTAAAAAGGGGGCTCTTGAAAAAGTGGCATCGAATAAATAGACCCCATGAAAGGAGAAGGTTTCCAATGAAAAGGCCATGAATAAAAAGTAGTGAAAGGGGGAGGCCGCTGAATAAGTGGCCTTAAATAAGTAGAACCACTGAAAGGGGAGGTCCCCAACGAAGAATCCATGAATAAAAAGACCCCTTGAAAAAGGAGAGGCTGCTGAAAAAGTGACCTTAACAGCTTATTTGGGCCACATTTTTTTCCAATTAGTATAAAAAATCCACCCGTTAGAACAGTAAACACTGACATATAGTAGGCCACTTTGTCTACTTTCACTGTAACAGCAGAAGGTGATTCACCCATTTCTACCCTTACCCTCTTCCTTACTGACACTGGAGAAATTTTGCACGGCATCTCTCTAACACCAGCTACTGCCGTGCTTATCTTTTTTTTTGGAAATCCTGCAGCTGCCTTCACAGATCGACGACACTTTCATTTGGGTTTGAAGTTCAGGTTCAACGGGCTTCGATTTGCTTCAGTTCCTTACGCAGTCCTAATATTTTCAGGTTAGTATTACCTATTTTTTCACAGATCGACAACGCTTTAATTTGCTGTAGCTCCATGTTATTTAATTGGGTAATCCAGTGATAAGAACAGAGAAATTATTTTCACTGGATTTTGACCGTATTTGATTCTTTCACTGGATAAAATATATTCGAAATTGCATACCCATAACTGTATATTAGAGATGTTCAATTGCAACATGCCAAATCGGCGATCTCAATTTTCAGATTTTTAACAAATAAATCGATTTTCACTTGCTGCAGGGGACTCCAGGAACTACTGCTTTCACGTTTTATTTTCAAGGTGACAAAATTTCAAACAACATTTGTTTCCTAGAGCCCTGTTCCCATTCAATTTGCAGGTATTTTCTTCGATGGGCAGCCCGACATTTTGGGGTTTCTTTTGGTTTTTTGGTTTCTTGTTCTTGCTTTGATCGAAGCTGCTTCAATTTTCATTCACCTTTGAAATCCCGTGCAGTCAGGCAAGCAGAACCGGCCTGGTTCATCCGTTCCAATTCACGATTCCTCGATTGGTGAAGTGCCTAAAAAATATGTGAAATGGCGAGAAGCCGAGAGACGTTGCTTTATAGCCACCTGTGAAACTGCGATTGTCGAAGGGCATCGACATGGCAAGTGTTTCACGAAAGTTGGCTGGGATCGTGTCGTCAC